TTAGAGATTTCAGTACGGAGGAAAAGAGAGAGGATTTTATTTTCTGACACTTTGCGAGTTCCCTGACACACCGGGGACACATATTTATGTATAAAATACATAACAAAGTGCATTTTGCATGATAGGAGACCTTTAGTATCTGAACATTCTCCGAAAACGTTATGTGTCCTCTGAAATGTCAATAATATTCCAGGAATTCCATAACCAGAAGCAGCCCTGAAATCCCACCACAACCTGCCAGATTGAAATAGCTGTAGGAATGTTGTTCATGTCCAGCACAGGAACCAACAGCTATCACATCCAGGATTGGACTAGGGAATGTAACAAGCCGAGCTGTGAGTTGGTTCAGTAAACATCACAAACATTTAGCTGCAAAACAGACCTGCCCAACTCTCTTTCTCAGAGCATGAAGGTGAGACGGTGAGTTATGAGTGTCTCTGACAGTCTGCACGGCAGGAAGCAGCTGCTGAGCCAATCACACGCCACATGTGTCTCGCAGATACTTTAAAACCATATCAGTATGATTCTAATCAGATGCATTCAGCACAGTTGCATGTTTTCTGTCTACTAAGAGACCAATGCTATGAACGTAAACAGCTACTAGACTCCAAGCTTTAAAGCATACAGGGCTTTACTTATGTAAAGTAAAATATCTTAGGTAATTAAAGGGAAGAAGACAAAAGAAAGATGGAGATAAAGAAGTGGAAGAGAAGGCGTAGAACACAGCTGATTCGGCTTCTGTGAGACTTTGCACGAGCTGATTGTGATCACCTTTAGTTCACAGATCAGAAATCACTGCTTAAAAAAAAAAATGAAGCTTTCCCCAAAAGCGAAAATAAATATTCCAAGTATAGAAGGGCTTGACCATGTATGAGTACCACTTTAAAATGAATCCAATTAGTGACAAGGAACTAAAGAAGAGGAGCTTAAACTAGACTGAAGTTTAATCTACACCCAGCTTTACTTTTGGCGGTTTTTAGATTGAAAACATTCCAGTTCTAAACAGTGCGTTGGGTCGTGTCACAATGAAACGTGATCCAGGAAGTCAGAGTTACAGATGATGCGCTTATCAGACACCAAAAAACGACATTACAATTTACAAAACATAGATAGGATTTTGCAAGTTCTCCCTTTAGCAACTTTTGTGTATGTTATCACAAAAAAGTGAGGTAATGAGGTGATCTACCAGAAATGGAAGCATGTATTTAACCTGCCAACAGAACCCAAGTCAAACTCTTTCTCTGAGGGAAACTGTTATGGCACCCTTGCTTCACATTATAAGGAAAAGGCAAACAGTTTTTTCACCCAAGGCTACTAAAAGCAGCTTTACAGAAGGTGAGGCTTGACATTCATGGATGCTCAAAATTCTCAGGCTGAACGAAAGGTTGACTATTTGGAAAAGCCAGGACGAAAGCCAAGATCTCACATTGAGCTTTATGTTGGAATCTCATAATAGATAATCCTCTCTAACAACGTAATACTGCAGATAAGAAAACAATTCTGGTGTTATGCTGACATGCTGATAGAGACCTACAAGCACAGAGCAGATAGCAGATTCTGTATTCTCTGGTTGCATGTTTCAAAATGTAACCGCTTTCATGTGAGCAATCTTCTTAGCAAAAGTGCTGCTGTGAATATTGCAGAAATAAAATTTCTTAAAAAGGTTGGTTCGAAGAATACAGAAGTGAGAAGTAGGGAGACAAGCAGAATAAGCACACAGCACAGCAGAGACGAGCTAAGAGAAAATGGAAGGGGGGAAAAGATATAGCCACTTCCTGAGCAAACGGCTAAAAATGTAACTAAAAAGTTGCTACTGGAGGAGAGGGTTACCGTACTTATTTTTAAACAGCATGGTTTGTGAAAATGTTATTCCACATTACAACTGCAGGATTTATGCTTGAACCGCAACACTATACAAACTTAATCACAAACGTGGCCCCCCCAGTGTCAGCACACACTTCAAACACAGTTTTAAAAGCGGTATTTGAACACTTGGCAGCATCCTAAGGTCACTCCACAAAAGCCAAAAAGCGATGTTACCATGGCTACGGCTCAGAGCATATAACTTTGTTCTCGCCTCTGAAACATAGTTAGGGGTTTTTGGAGAGGAGCTGAGGCTCTGCGACTGATGCCAGCTTTGTTTCTCTCTGGAGGAGATCCAGCAGCAAACATGCTGTAAAGCACAGAGAGGACAAACGCCAAAAGTTGGACAGCAATACTCCTCTCTTGGTTACAGGTGAGGAATGCGGGGGGAAATGCACTTCAGTCAGAGGATTTGAGCTGCTCTCAGGACACAGATGGGACTTCCTGCTGATTCTTGGAATAACAGGAATATTTTTCACAGGCATTATTATTTAATATCCTGCACATATGCGGGAGCAGAGGAAAGGACTCGGTGGTGTCCTGCTGCTTCTCACTTTCAGTCCAACAAACAGCACGTGAACCGCTGAGAGATGATGGTGTGGCTGGACCTGGGTTCACGCTCATCAATTACACACAGAATGGAGAACGTGTGCTGCAGCTTCAATTGGGGTTTTAAGGAATCATTTCATTTCATTTTTATTTGTCCCGCTCATGGTACGCTAAACCAAATGTACAATAATTGCCACAAAACATGACTCTACCATTGAGCGAAAAGGAGCAGGGAGAAGAATCAAATCTTATGTGACCTGCCCCTTTCTAAAAAAATATATATTTGGAATAGCAAATCTAAATGCAGATGACTGAGTTTGAAGACGGGGGTCAGATCCATTTAGATCCCACACAGGTCAGACTAACTTAACTGCACACGGTGGAGAAGTCATGTTAAAGCTTAAACATACATTTAAGAAGCAAAACTAAAAATGTTCCAGAAGTCTACACAGTGATGAGCTTTGGAAAAATGTTGACATTCATACTGCAGAAGTCACGACCATTTAATCTCATATTATTCATGCTGCCTTTACAGGGAATATGTCCAAAACTGTGCTTAAAGGGGTTGTTAAGCTTCATCACCATAAAGCTAGGGTGGCATGCAAACTGAAAAAGCAGACCCTGAGTTATATGGGCTTTTATGAATCAAAGCTCTTGATCAAACAATTCCCAAATGCAACCCTGTATGGTTTCTCCATTATGGCCACAGAGGTTATTTTCTCAGACTCGTCGATGCTTCTTCAAGAGAAACAGAAATTATTTAACAATAATTCTCACGGGCGAGTACTCCCTGTATCGGATAAATGGATCAGGTAAAAAATGATCCTATGATAGTAAGAATCGGATTTGTTTTCAGCCGCAATAACGGCATACAAAATCTGAAAAAATGTGTTTATGAGGAAGGAGCCATGGTTGTTAGATCTCAGGTGGTGAATACAACTGACTGTAGGCATAACTTCTGTCACGTAATTGTGTTAAAATAACACAAGTTTGCTTTAATGAGATACTTAATTTAGAGTAAGCCCAACTCGGTTGAAAACTCCAGTCTCAGTTCAATGTTGAGACACATAACATAAGGGATATTTATTATTTGAAAGGATCTTTTAAACTTGGTTGTTAAAGAACTGTGACCAAGATTTATTCAGAGCAACAACAGTTGACGTTTAAACGTGTCAGTTCTATCTGGTGGTTAAACAATGTATTTGTTGTTTCAAACATGAACTATAAAGGAGTACACACATAAATTAAAACTGGCCAATAACATAGACAGTCAATTTATCACAAAAAAAAACCTTTATAAATGGTATTTCACTTTCTTTTAAAAAGACATCCAACTGCTCCCTTGCAACAAACTCAAAATAGAATTGATGTCAGGAGACAATGACCCTCTTCTTCAAAAATACCCCGTTCTATTTTAGATAGAAACCTTATGCAGTGTGCACCATATGCCGAGAGAGGAGTCCAACACATGCCTGGAATAGAAAAGGCCCTCTTCTGCAGTAAATGTTTAATTGAACAGGACATCAAGAGTTTTACTGGCAGTCGGTTACAATGTGCTACTTTCAAACAGGCAAACTTTTGTTAGGATCTAATTAAATGCTACCTGGAATTCAATTTAACAGCTTAAAACAGAACAAAGCGGGCGACGCCTGCCAGCATTTCTGATGGAAAGTTCTCCAACTGTAAGTGGACACCAGGAATTCATTATGACGGGACATGAAATCCATCGGCTGAGCATACACACCCTTTTCTACATTAATCTGAGTGAACACCTGCCATGGTAAGAACACCTTTTTTTGAAAATAAAGATATTTACATTTAGTCTTATTTCTGATCCCTATCTGCTGTGTCACCTTATATCCAGAGCTGCACACAAACACGTCGTCATCATCCTCCCCGGCTCTCCAGTAGCCTCTGAATAAATGTAATGCACGACGCATGGTGATGCACGGCGGCCATCGAGTGTGACAAGACACACGCTGACCCCTGTGGCTTCACCTCCCTCCAACACACACATGCTCCATCTTTTTCTCCGCGTCCTTCTTGGCTCTGCAACAGTCCAGTGGAAGGTAGGAGGGAATTTGAGCCAGACTGTGACGGAGGCGAAGGGGAACAGGATCTCTCTCTACATCACTAACAGCGCAACACACAAACTGACACAACAGGAAATGGCTGTGTATAAGTCAGAGCTTCCTCTAACAGAACTATGTGTGTTGGAGTCCAGCTGGGCACTGACAGACACACTGGCACTCTGGTTTGACCACTCACTACTGTGCAATGTCTTTGTCTTGCTATCATTACCTGAACAGAAGAAGGAGGTTGCAGAAAACCGTATTAGCAAAGTTGTTGCCTCGTTAAAGGGGAAATAATAGATTGAGAAAGAGCTGCAGGAGGAAACAGCAATAGGAAGGAAAACCAAAAGAGATGTGGTAGAATAAATGATAACCCACAACCCCGGGCTGATGAAGATGTTACGGCTTATTAGTATGAATAATTCTATTAAAAATATTCATGATAGGCACTATTATCAGCTTAAAGAAAGAGAAACTCCCTCCGGAGAGAATTAGGGATTTTGGCCTTTGCAGACAATTTACATGGACAAAGATGTCCATAAACAAAACGTGTTGTCATGTAACTACAAACAATGTTAACAAAATAGTTACTTTTTCCAACTTTGAACACTTGTTTAAACACATTTTAATTGTTTGGTTGAAACAGGAACTGTTAGGATTATTTAATTATCCAATATTTCCACAATTGATAGAAGTGTCCCATACTGGCTGTAGACAGTATATGCTTTTGGAACCTTTCTGCAGTAGTGTCTGGATGATACTGAATCTTTGAGCTCTCCCAATCTCATTATAATTCTATGAAGGTCGTATATAGCATTACACTATTATTTTTCAATCGATCAAACGCCTTTTATCCTGAAGAAAAAGAGAGCAAAACACATGCCATGTCTTTTGAAAAAGGTATAAATAGTTTCAATGTATTCTATAGAGTTGTCATAAACACACAGCACTAATAAATATTTCACAGTGGATCAAATAACTACAGTGTGTGTCATGTGAGAGGATGAGCTCCTGTATCGTTCTGGTTCAGAGCCACATATTTCCCTCAAGAGTTAATGGACATCAAAACATTATGATAGAAGAGATATTAATGATATGATATATGTCAGGTGGCCAGAGACATGACTTGAAATGAATGCAGACTTTGCTCCTTTCTGCTGTATGCTTAAATAAGACAAGTCTATGAGATAATAATCCATCAGTGTTGTGTTTATGTGCTGCTGCAGTTCCCAAGGTGCCCAAAAACTCAATAAATGCAACTCTTAATAAACCAGGGGAATGCCATAGTCTCCACATTATACAATACACTGTCTCCTCACTCACCTATTCGTGTTACTTTATCAATGTATTCCTAATGTTTGGTTTCTTTATGAGATACAAGCTTTTTCAAAGTATCTTTAATATCAACAGATTGAACTTCAAAGAACAAATATTAGATTCAAAGCAGATCCTTGGCATTCTGTAATGCACATTCTTGTAATAGTGACTTAGAGAAGCAGATACAGTCATGATCAGTAATAAGCTAAAATCAGGCTGGTAATATTAGCTCATGCTATACAACAAGGACACACCTCAACTTATACATAACAGTGGTCAGTGGAGACAATGCACTCTCACTGTCTGCATTGTTGTGAGTCACTCCTCCTCCCTTTATTCTCGTAGGAAGCTTGCCGGCTAGTTTGAAATGAATGAGATGTGGCAGAGGGGTCAAGACCCGGGGTATCTGACAGGTAGGTCAATAAATAAAAAAAGGACCTGAGGGGGGCTGGGGGTTGTTTATGAGGGATGGATGGAGTGAGAGGTAGAGGGCAGAAGAGAGGAGGAGATGTGCTGCATGGCGTGATAAATGAGTTTCAGACTGCAGGCCGGTGCAGTGCAGAATCTGCATTACAACGTATTATGCAGCCTGAAGAGGGTACCCACACCCAACATGGGAATGTGTGATTAATTCAACTCAGGGGTCTAATGGAGTATGAAGGGAGAGGGGAACAGACGCAGAAGAACTGATGAGAATTGGCTGGCTAATGGAGATTATGCTCTGCTGCGTGAAACACAGCTCACTGCAGCCTTCGTATTTATAACCATGTTGGGAATACAACTCCCCCCTCTCCCCCCTCTCCTCCCCCTCCTCCTCCTGTGCCTGTACAATCACCAGAAAATGCCGGTGTCTACAGTAGCATCATAAATTATTCCCTGTGTAAAGAAGCGCAGGTCGGGGTGAGGGCAGCAGGCATGTGGGGGGTGTAGTGTCACCCTGAGTCCACTAGGTGTCTCTCTCGGGTTTGGGAGGGAGGATGGGGAGTGGGTGGGAGGCTCCATCTATGCATCTGGCCTTGAGGAGAGAAGCGAGGGAGAGTGCTTTTTTCTCAATGCACACATGGCAACACACTCTGCAGCATCTCCACACTGCACTGTGTCAGTGTGATGCAGTATGCACAGAGGAAGAGAACACACACATCTCACAATGGCTTCCAGTTTGTCATGGAATAGAATGTTTTAATGCTTGTACTGTATGTAAATCAATAATTGGTTCAGCGCAAAGATCCTGCTGGAACAGTATGACACTGCCCCTTTTTAAGAGTCATTATATGTAAAAATGAGTCATATAATCTGGCCACATCTCTGGAAATGGGCACCATTGAAAGATAAAGCTTGACGTCATGGCTTCCTCCTAGCTGCAACCCAAAAACAGATCTTTCTCCTAGAAGAAGTGTCATGCTTTTTGTCCTGTAGTCTTGTTGTGATGCATTGTACAAACTGTAGCAAGTTGCATTGAAGATGACGTCGCACACTTTTGGACTGGCTTGAAAAAGATAGTTTAAACTCTGCGTAAAGTGGATATAATTAAAATGATGGAAATTGACCAAAGATTACAAGCTGTGCCCCAGCTCTGACCAACTCTTAAATATTTACTTTCATACCAGGCTAACCATGCCAGTTTATAAATTAAGCTACAACATCACAAATACAACAATCCTACAATAAATCCTTTCTTTTGTGAAGGTGACTATTTTTATTCATATTTTTTAAAAGAGAGGTGTTTATATACCGGTAGTTACTTTGGAGGCTACAGGTAAAGGTAGTCAAATAAACAATGCTAGTCTAGAACTCTACATAGATTTGATTTTGATTTTCCCTTGACATAATCTATCACATGATATGGTGTCAACATTTATTTGACAGCCTCTGTGATTTAAATGTCTTGATTGTATTCCTTTCTAGGTTGAACATCTTGAAACTTGACACTTTGAGATGCCTCAGTGTGAGATGTGCTATATAATTATCTTGTTAAATACATGTGACCGCATTTCAGGTTATAGGCTACAGACATAATAAAAGGTAATTCCAGCTGTAATGCAATAACAATGATTCCGTGCTGAATTTAAAAACATCTCAGCCGTCACAGATGCATCAATGTCACGCCCCGGAGTGTGTGTGCATTTCCTCTAACCCCATTACATAATGTGATTATTGAATTAGCTGAAAGCGGTTCAAGGAAGTGTGTCGAGGCGGCGCGGAGAGGTGGCATGGTGACTGACGGAGCTGCATCGGTGGCTATGGCGACACCTCGCAGCCAATCAGGCGAGAGCGCAGAGGAGTGTTTGAAGATGGACCGCGCGGGGTTAGAGGGGTGGGTGGGGAGGCACACCACCTCCGAGCTAATGCATCAATCCACTCACACACCAAAACCTCTTGGGCCATTCTCTCTCTGCCATCTTCTAGTGAGCCAACGCCCCACTCGCCCCCCCCCCCCTCTCTGTGCTCCAGGAGGTATGATGGTTGTGTCCATATGACCAGATTAACCCACATTTCCACTTCGCTGGGTGTCAGACTGCATCCGCCCACTCCCCCATCATCACATTTGTGGCATTTCATAAGCCAGACCCCCCTCCCACCCCCCTCCCTATTCTCCACAAGCAGACACTGACACAGAAATGTAGCATGAACACATGCTTACAATCACACACACTGCCATCACTTTCCTTAGCAACCAGTCCCAGAATTCGACAGTAAAAAATAAAAGAGGAAAGAGATCTGATTCTAAGCTGAAATAGTGGGTGTAGGTAGAACAAAAAAATATGATAATGGCTTTCAAAAACCGACTCAAATGCATCTCACGCATACATGGGTCAGCAAAACATGGCAAGTAAAAAACAAAAACTATAAGAGAAACCCTGATATGGGACTGAGTCAGCATTTTCTCGCAGGATGACGGCAGCTATTTTCATTTCATGGATCAGAGGCTTCACAATCTGACAGAGACGCGAGCAATTAACCTTCTGGTCCTGTGCTGATAGCGCTCGGCTAAAATGTCAGTTTGTGTCTGTGGAAATACAACCCGCTTCTGATAAAGCTCTGTGGAGGATACATGTTCTAATAGACACCGCTGCTGCTTGGATACGGCAGACAAAGAAGCTTCAAGGCTACAGAAAAGGGACACTTTACAAGATCAGAGCAAAAACTGGTACAACTGTGGAAAACACGATTCAGTGGTTGAGTTTTAGTGCCAAAACAAACCGTTTTATATCATTTCAGACACCTTTTCAAAGTCAGAGGAGTCTCCGAACACCCCTGCTGTTTTTCTACCGCGTGAAAAACAGAAGGGGTTTTACTGCGCCGCGCATATTTTCCTCGTGAAATGTTAATAAGCTAGGGTGGATTTCGAGGACAGGGGAAGCCTGCAGTCTCATGCGCCTATGGGGAGACGCTGCCATCAGCCAAAAACCAGTCTGCCGTACTGGGATGCAGATTCTGCACGTGTGAGTGTGCCAGTAAGTGAGCTTAACTAGAGCGGGCGAATCAAACAATTCATATCTGGGACAACACGCCCATGGATATTTCACAGGATCAGAGCGTTTGGTTTCTATTTGGGGCCTAAACTCGAGTCAGAGCGTGAAAGCAAACGAGCCAACCAGAATCGACCAGACATCTCCTTTTTTAGCCCCGGTAAGTCTCTATAAAGCATATGGAGACAT